GCTCGTTAGGCTAAACGACCGAGCCGAACACGAGCTGTTCACGAACAACGAGCTAAATTGACAGTCCTAATGTAAATGGCTCAAAAATAAATTATACCATTTCTGTAATATATAAAAAATAAAGGGTGGTTTTATTTAACTAATGAAATTAAAGAAGAATACATTACGTGTAAAGAATGGGCTTTTACGTGTCTCCAACGTAGGGCTGTCAAAAAAGCTCGTTGTTCGCGAACAGTTCGTATTCGGTTCGTCAATGAGTTCGTGTTCGATTCGTTCGATAAGTAAACGAGACAAACGCGAATAAATTTTTTTCGTTCGGTTAGTTAAACGAACCAAACACGAACAGTGATGCGTTCGTTCGTGTTCGAATCGTTATTGTTTAAAATATAAAATAATATAAAATAATTATATATAAAAAATTTATTATATTTTAAAACATTAAATTTTATAAATTATAATATATAATAAAATAATAATAATAATATATTAATATACTATAGTAGTAAGATACTAATATAGATATTGTATATTTATATAATATAAGTTATATAATTAATATATAATATTATTTTTATATATTAATATTAGGGATGTCAAATTGGCTCGTCGTTCACGAACAGCTCGTGTTCGGTTCGTGTTCGGCTCGTTCGTTAAGAAACAAACACGAGCTTATTTCAAACAAACTAAATTTTAAACGAACTGAACACGAACACAAGCTTTGTTCGTTCGTGTTCGGTTCGTTTACACCCCTACTCCAACGCACTAATATTGCTATATCAATTTTACATGCAATAAAGTGACCGTTACCATTTGGCCAGTCAGCTACACAGATGGCTACAGCAACGGCTATAGCACGTATTAACGCACGTATTTTTCTAATTCTGCATGGACTTTTCACCAACTGGCGACTTTAACGACTACGTCATGACGTGGCCACCCCGCGATTTTTTTTCTTCTAATATTAAATAAATATATAAATACGATAAGATTAAAATATGAAGCATTTGCATATATACCAACCAATTTGCTTGTATTTATATTATCAAACATCTAATAAATTATTGAATACATTGGTGCATATTGAATAAAATTTTATTAATAAATCAAAGGATTATTTAGTTTAGTTTAATAATTTTAATGAAGTTTAAATATGGGGGAAATAAATTTCATGTTAAAAAGCTCGATCATTCATTTTATCGAGCTATTTCTAAAAATATTATCATAAATGCATTATTATGTATCTGTAAAATTTTCAAGAATGAGTTTTTTTCGAGAAAATAGTTCGATCTAAATATGTGATCTCGCGGTGGGAAACTAAACTCTTAACCATTTTATCGCGGGTAATTATGCATTCTTGCGAGTGAGTTGAGAAAATATGACAGTGGAATCAATATAGGTTACAACATATTATTTATAAAATGACTTTTTTTATAAAATAATATAAATATTTTTATTAAAATAAAGTTTTTAAGAATAGAAAAAACAATTTTTTTTAATATTTTTAAAGTTTTTTCTATAAAAATACACACAAAATAAAAAATTTCTAATTTTAATGGTAATAAGCACCTATTTTCTTTTAAAATGTACTCCATTCTTCTCCTGTGCGGACATTTCTCAAAATCCCCACCGCACGAATATAATAGCGACACGTGGAAAATACACGAAGGCCATCGCATCTGTCTTGCCTAATCAGTCGAACGACTCCTCGTCCTTCCCCCGTTGCATCGCATCAGATCCATCCTTCGTCACCGGCGATCGCTAAGAGTCCAGTGCCCTCATCCCGGCTGTTTAAATACTTCCCAGTGGGCAAGAACCCACCACCTTCTTCCAAGCTGGATTCGGAGGCAAAGCAGAGAATTCTGGCAACTGGGTGGGTTCCGGAGCTTTGGAGAAGATACAGAAAGAGAAGCTTCGAAATGCTCTTGTGATTCCCTTTCGCCTTTCCTACTGGCGTAGGGAATATGGACCGTCCGACGCTGATGAGACTAGGGTTACCGTGACAGGGACGGAGGTTGGGGAAACGGAAATCTAGCTTGCGATTCACGCGGTCGGGAGAGGTTTATGTGTCATTAAAACCCCGCGGTGGATCGATGTCATTAGTAGGCGAAGGATCAATGACGTGGCAGGAGGAGTTGGCTAGTTTGGTCGGGGAAACTGGAGTTCAGTATTCTGCGATCGGCGGCGAGTTGGAGAGAACTGCGGCGGATCTTAAGGGGAGAGTGGGCGGGGAGGAGTATTATAGACATGAGGATGGCATTGTGCAGGAGGAGAGTCTGAAGGATCAGTTGAAGGGGTTTTTGAAAGCGTCGGTGGAGATGATGCAGGATTTCGGGAGGGGATGCCGTGATATAGTGCGACAGAGCTTGACTGGGGTGGAGGACTCGTATGTGATGCAGAGGCTCCGTGGGCCGTGGGGTGTAGTGTCCAGGCGGCTTGGGTTTTTGAATGATTACTTGCCTGAGGATCGGGATCCGATGCACTCTTGGATCGTGATCATCTGCGTATTTCTTGTAGCGCTTCCGGGTATGACACTGTTTGGAGCTTCCTTTAATGTATATTCCATTAGTATTGCTGTTCTTTGCATTAAGTTTATGCTTGTTTTGTCGACGTGAATTTCATTTTGTTCGGCTTATAATATGTTGGCGGCTGGATGAAAGTCGGTCGTGCCTTGGTTTGAACTTTCGAAGGTTGGCGCTTCGGTTTAGTATAAATGTTAGGTGTTTTCTTAGAATTCTTCATATTTTTGTTATAATTGGGTTTGATATTTTTATTCTTTATTTTGGGATTTTTCATGGATTTCTAATTGTTTGTTCCTAGCTAATGTCGACTTGGTTTCATTTTGATTGCTGGGTGAATGATATCTTTTACATTCAATTATTAATAGAGATGTTTAACATGGATTTAGCTTCAATTTTCGTTCCTTTCGGTAGATGTACAGATTTGGATTTGAAAGATTTCCTAGGAGAACTTTGTATGGTTTTATATTTGATGGCCAGCTCAAGAGCAATGGATAGGTTCCCTGCATCTTTTCTTGAAAATCATCGATTCAAATCAAGATATTTGCTAACTTGCAAGGTATGGTTGCATCTAGCTATCCCCTAAACTGTGCGTTGCAGAATGTTTAAACTTCAGGCACTGCATTAAATTCATCTTTTACGCCCTATTTTGCTTGCTTTGCGGCCTTTTTGAAATATAGAATGCATTATTGTTTCAAATCACTGTAACGACCACCATGCAATACTTGAGTCCTGCTTGTAATTTACTTTTTTCAGGAGATCCATGTACTGTGTGAGCATAAATTTTCACACCTCTGTTCATCCACCTTCTACTTGAAATATTGGCTCCATTTTTCTTAGATTTCTGCTGTCGTGGCTTTCCTCATTTGTGTTATTTTTATCCTACCAGGGCTGAATTGTTCATTTTAACCTTTCTTTGCAATTTTCATCCTGGGTTGCTTTGTAATGTTTTGAATACTCTGTTACAGCTTCTTAGTAAGAGTGGTTGAGGTGAATATTTGTGGTTTGTGCTCCTTTTAGTCCATCATTGTTGAAATGATTACTCTGTTGTCTCTTTTCTTTGGTTGTGTTTGGTTGCTTTGTTAATCTTCAAGGCTTTGTTTCAATCTTTTCGAGTTAAGTGGTTTTAAAAGAAGTGTCTGATTACATAGGCGCCCGTGAGGGCACCAAAAATTGGATGCTTTATATGATTAGGAGTGTACATTATTCGGTCAAAATAAAAAAAAAACCGAACTGAATTGAGCTCATATGGTTGATTAAGTTCGGTTTTAAAATAACATTTCTGTTTTTGGTTTTAAAAAAATTAATATTCAGTTTTTGGTTTAATTTTAATGTTCATTAAGCCAAATAAAAAAAAAATCAAATAATATTAATATTAGAAATTTAAGTTCATTTGAAATAAAATAAATTGAGCCTGTGACATGTTTAAGAAAAGGTGAGAAAATTAGAAATCAAGCCAAATGCTGAATTTTGGATTTATCCAAACCAAAACAATTCAACCGAATTATATTTTGGCTCGCTTTGAATTGGTCTTAGGAAAATTTTGGTGCGTTTAATTTTTTGGATTTCGGTTTTTGTATTCATTCCGTTTGACTAATTATAAACATATTCATCTAAATTAATCGATTGCACACCCCTAGATACAATTAGGCATAAACTGTTGTCTAGGCTATGCGAAGGCAGAATGATATCCAAAAATATAACTTTTTGATGGCTTGGTTATAGTTTATAATTAATATAGTTGTTAATCTTAGGCATAACGGTCATTGCTGTTTCTTTTTGGGACTGAAATAAACTTCTAATTTCTCTTAGTGCTATACTGCTCAGTTTAATCTTTCTGTAGCATTCTCTGATGCCTTTGTCATTTTTCCAAAAATATAGTATCAGAAAGAACAAATCAAGTTGAGGAAATCTAGACGTACGGAATGGTTATATTAAGCAAAACAATTTGCCATTTGAACTATGTGAAGGCTTTCATTAAAACACCCTTTCTAATTGCAAAGATAGATATTGCCTAATCGCCATAATTTACCTTATCCACCTATTGCTTTGTCCCTATTATGTGCACCCTACCCCCAAAGGGAGATCAGGGGTTCAATTCCCTCAGAAAAAAAAATTAAAAAAAAGAAGTCTGTTTTTATTTTGGTTCTTCTGGCTTTATCATATCAAAATTTACATGTTCCCTATACTGGATGAGAAAATGCATCCATATTTTTTTTTTAATGTAAACTATTAATTCTATTTGGATTTTGTTTTTAATTAGTCTTGTTGTTTGTCTGACTGGTTACAGACTTACAGCCCATCAAACGCATTCAACAATTTTGAATTCTACATATGCAGCTATATAGAGGGTCTCAATTATACTTATTCTTGCCTCTTGAAGATGGATTGATTAACCATAAGTTTGTCCAAATTGATGTGGTTATTTACACCAATGACAAAATGTATCATCACATACTACAATTGTTTTGAATAAGAGTCATGGGAGAACAGTCTAAGTAACGCCTTTTGCCACAGTGGTAATCCTTAAAACATGTGTATGACACAATTCTTACGTGCTTTCATGTCTAACACCTAAGCATTCATATTTACATGCATAACACTCAAATCTTTAACATCACATAAAAAATGCCGCAATCACTATCTTTTAAAAGTGCAATACACCTTTTCATGTGTAAGTTTATGAGATCATATTGTTATTAGTGTAAATATCTTACTTTGGATTTTTGATATGTGAACACATAAGAATTGTGTGCTATATATGTAAATGTTTCTTAAAAACTTCATTTGTTACCGGCAAGAGATTTTATTCATTACACTACCTGGAGCAAGTACAGAAAAGTTTCAATAGCTTAAAATGCTCCCAAAGTTGCATGCCAAGTGCCTGTAACTGTCATTAATCTTATTTTAGCTCGGACATGTTATATCCATTCATATTAGGATACATTCCACCTATTTCAATAATTTGAGCAAGTTTTCAGACATAGCACACAATTCTTTGTTCTTACATAAACTTTCATATTTACACACATAGCACTCTTTATTATCACATAAAAAATAACCACTATTATCACTTTTTAAAAGTGAAATACATATTTTCATGGGGTTTAAAGCACCAAAGTGTTGTATATAAATATCTAATTTAGGTGTGAGATATGTAAATGCATAAGAATTGTGTGCTATGTAAGTAAATTTCCTTTTTTTAAGTAATTATTTTTTTCTATATGACAACTCACAGAAATTACCTGGTTGTTATTTCGACAACCAGTTTTAACTAAAGCTTAATTTAAATATTCTTGGAAATTGGTTGATGTGTACTGTTATGCTATCCTCTAGGTTCCGCCATGCTTACTATTTTCTGCTAGATTGTTCTTTTTCTATGGTAATTTATTGAGTTTAAATTTTGATATATTTGATTGTATTCCTTAAAAGATGAGAAATATTTGCAGCTTTGAATGTAAATAATGGCCACATAGCTCCAGTGCAACCTCCAAAGAAACTGTATATACATCCTCCTAGCGCTAGCCTAATCCAACTTCCAGATGGAAGAGTTATGGCCTACCACGAACAAGGAGTGCCTGTTGAAAAAGCTAGATTTACTATGATTTCTCCTCATTCTTTTCTTTCCTCTCGCTTAGAGGGTGAGAATTGTTAATTTTGAATGCTAAAATGATTTTAGTGTGTAGTTACGTGTTGATGATTTTTTTGCCACTTTTACAGGCATACCTGGCATCAAAGAATCTTTGTTGGAAGATTTTGGAGTTCGTTTTGTCACATATGACCTTCCAGGTTTCGGTGAAAGTGATCCTCACCCTAGAAGGAACCTCAATTCATCAGCACATGATATGCTGCATTTAGCAGATGCTCTTGGGGTGGTGGATAAGTTCTGGGTGTTGGGTTACTCGGGCGGAGGAATGCATGCTTGGGCTGCTGTTCGCTATATTCCTGATCGAATCGCAGGTTTATTCTAATTTTGCCAAGTTGAACATGATTTATTTTTCCTATATCGAAGTGTCAAATAGTCTATTGATTTTTTGCATGAGGTCATTTTAGTCCCGAAGTTTATAAAGTGTCACTTTAGTCCTAAAACTTATTTAGTATGAGCTGAAATAGTTATCATGGAGGACCATTTCGGCCCTAATTTAATGACTCTGGGTACTAATTTCACTTTTATAGACTATGAGACTGAATGTAAATAGCAGGAGACTATTTTAACACTTTTCTCTTTTGCTATATCAATGCCAAAAGTGGATTTCTGATTATAGATTGGTCTAACGCAGCAATTTCCTACATGTTTTTTTGCTTGTAGCAGGAAATGTTGCTATTTTTACTGCAAAAAAGAAAAAAAAGTCTAAGATATTCAAAAATAAATGATGAGAACAGTTGCCTTCTTTGTTCATTTTTCAAAGGTAGTTTCCTGAAGGAGCAAGATTGTATTCTAAATAAAATATCTCACAAACATATCTGAACAAACTCTGAACACAATTTTTGCTGAGCAAGGTAGGTGATGGAAGCTTTATTAAGGGCATTTACATACCCGTTAATTCTAAAAATGTATTTACATATCTAAGGCCTAGACGTTGATATTTACATGTATATCACTCAAATCTTTAACATCGCATAAAAAAAATACCACTATTATTACCTTTTTAAAAGTGAAATACATCTTTCATGCATAAGTTTGACACCATGGTGTTATAAATGTAAATATCAAACTTTGATATGCAAATTTATAAGAAATGTGTGCTGTGTATATATTCCCTTTATTATTTGTTGTAGCATGTTGCACTACCCCTCAAGTATTGGAGCAAACGCAAACCTAGAAAAAGATATTAGTAATTTTGTTGAAGAATCCGACTTCATAGGCCGCCTTAGCTAAATGCAAACTTCTAATCAATGTGGTTGTAGGGCGTAAATTCATGCACACCTGCTGAATAACATGATTGTGAGGAAAACTTTTTTTTTGTCTCGCAACATTATTCTTAAGAGGTTCCAACAGGGAAAACTGACCATGGTTTATTTGCTGATAAATATTTTTGAAAAGTTTTAGAGACAGTCACCTCTCACCTTTATGTTCAGAAGGTCCACTTGGCAAAAGTCACTTGCTGGCTTCATTTTTTGGTCTTCCTCAAGTGGATGATGTTGTTACACCCAATCTGTTGATTCATTAGATGCCTGAGACATTCAAATTACGTGGATAATTTATTGGTTTTTTCTTATGTCAAATTCTTTTTCAGTTTGCAATATCATTTAAGGGTTGAAATTGTTACACCCTGTTAAGCTCTGTCAAAAAATTTCAGTAGCATCATGACAAGATGTACACGTACCTAACAATCTACATGCATCCAATCTTTAAGATATACATTTATATGCAGAATTACCACCAAGATGTTTTAGAGCAATTAAATCAGATCACAACTATGCAATTTTTCCACCAAAGAGAAAAAGAATGAATTAACTTTTACACTTTCATCTCAGAAGGCCTTAGGCAAGCTAAATTTATTGACATTAACAAGGCTTCACACAGCCTGTGGAATTACTCTCATTATTATTTACATTATTCTATTTAGTACTTGCTATATTTTATCATGGTATAAAAATGATCGGTAATTCCTTAATTATAGTTATTTATGTTTATTCCATAATTATAGGAATTACTTAATTGTAGGAAGATTTCTTTCCTCTTTTTATCTCTTGTACTCGCCTATTTATAGGCGAATTATCTATGTATTCAGTGAGAAAAAATGTTATTCAAATTCACATGGTATCAGAGCCATCAAAGAGAAGCCTCTCCAGCTCGACTGGATCACGGCCCTTCTCTCCCGCGATCGTCCTTGAGTTTGCGTCTGCCCCGATCGTCCGCATCTGAGCCCCCGCCCCCCGTCCAATCGACCGATCGCGGCTCTCTCCAATCGTCCGCGCCGGCTTCCGCGATCGTTCGGGTCCGCTTCTGCGTCCGCATCCGCTTTTGCGATCGTCTCTCGAGCCGTTTTCCGCATCTTCCGCGATCGTCTTCTGCGACCGAGACTGAGCGCAGCCAGTTCCGCGTCTTCCGCGATCGTCTCTCCGATCGTCTTCCGCGATCGTCTCTCCGATCTTCTTCCGCGACCAAGCACAACCAGCTCTTGCCGAGCTCAATGGCTAAGGACGGCCATGCCTGCAACTCCTCCACTAGTGATGTCACTTCTAGCCACCCCTCCGCGGCTGGGTCTCCGTTGCCCAGCAATTCAGACAATTCTGTCCCTGCCCCCACCCCCAGCCACAAACTCACCGGCCTAATTTACCTCCAATGGTCGCAGTTAGTCATGATGTTTGTATGCGGTAAAGGCAAAGATGACTATCTCACCGGTGATGCTCCATCTCCGATGACGACAGATCCGTCATACAAGACTTGGAAATCCGACTTTAATATGGTTATGGCCTGGCTTGTTAACTCGATGACACTTGATATTTT